AGGTTATTTTCTTCCCAAATCACTTTAATTCTCTCTAGATAAAATAGGCAGTCATATTTGCATTAGTTTAATTAATACAGTTACATACGGATTCTTATTGCCTAGTAAAAAGTAGAAGATCAACTGCAAGGAAAACTGATCTAATTGAAAGTTGAAGATTTTTCTGCTCAGAGCTCAGTAGCGTTTTCCTTTGTATTCTTAACGAGTCCATGATAACGCATAATCCTATCACCTGCCAAAATGTTAGCTGTAGTTGGTGGGATGTGCATGGATGTGGGTGTATGTGTGGTGTGTGCTTGAATGAACCTCTATGGCTGTGTACGCGTACATGCTTGCATTCCTGGTAAGTGTTAATCTAAGCTAAAACATGAATATGCTCAGTGTTTTCAAAATGAGTTCTGAGGATTTGGAGTCTCACTAATATAACCTTTAGAAAGGGGATCCGCAGTGAGACTGAGAGCTCAAATGTGATTCCCAGTCACTTTGTGAGCTAGTAATTTGTTCTCTGCTATTTCCAGACACTTTAATTTTTTTTTTTTTTTTTTTACAATTCCTTCAATATCCTGGTGAGACTGCTGTTGTTTTCCATCTTACATAAGAAACAAACTAAATATGGAACGTCTAAGGGATGTAATTATCTTAAAGAAAAGGGAGACGGGAAATGACGACTCAAGATCTTGGCAGTGCCAGGCTGGATTCTAATTCTGGGTGGAAGGAAGACCTACTTGGCAAGGGCCGCTCTTTATGGTGCCAGCACAAGAAAGCAAAGAGTAAAAGTAGAGAACAGAAAAACTCATCTCTGGGGAGTTCAATTCACATCTTTGATTCTTTTTTTTTTTTTGGCTGGATCTCTTTGCTTGGCTCAAAATTTTGTGTTTGTTTTGGCACCAGCAACTTACTTCTTAGGGATCTTCAGGAGATTATTCTAAATTTAAGTGTGTAGTTTAAGATGTTCTACTAAGTTTAGTAGAGAGAAAATACTAGAGACATTAATAAATAAAATATGGACAAGAAGTGTTTTCCAGTTATTGGAAAGAGAAAACAGGTTGTGCTGATGTGTGTGTATTTATAGCCACTGTATACATTTCTTTTCACACTAACCTCAGAGTCATAGGTCACAGGTGACAATCCCCCAAACTAGACAAGATTCTATAACATCTTTATTGCGATAGTATTAAAGTAAAAAGATTAGAAAGAAAATATATCAGAAAAAGCTAATAAAATGTAGTCCAAGAAACCACACTGTAATAAAAATAAATAAATAAAGTCACAGCATTCTGAATTTGCAAGATGGTGGGTTAAATAATGGGAATAGATTCCCCACTGAAAATATCTAAAATACCTGAGTGTAACATAAAACACTAATAAAAGACATTTTACTTATATTAATTTCAGACAAAATAGCCTGTAATGAAAAAATCACTAATAGAGATAAAGAGTATCACTTCATAATGATAAAAGGTTTAATTTACCAAGAATATATAACAATGGAAAATTTCTGTGCTCTTAGTTAATGCAGTTTCATATCTTTTAAACCCCAAAGTGAGAAATACATGAGTTCACACTGTAATTGAGAGATTTTTAACATATTTCTCACAGAAACTGAAAGATCAAGCAGACAAAATAAATCTGTAAGAGTACAGAGGTTTTTAACAGCGTAATAATAGACAAGAATTCTTCCACCCAACAAAGGCAGGGGCCTCATTTTTTTCAAAAACAAGGAAAAATTGTAAAAATTAGCCACATACTGGGGTCTGTCACTTACTGGATTTCTGTCCTTAGGGCATTTTTTAAACTCTGAGTCTCAGTTTCCTCCCCTTTAAAATGGTGCAATAGCAGCTACCATGTAACACTAGTGAGGGGATTACATGAACCAATGTGTGTCGAACACCTGGAGTTACAAGCTGCTCAGGAAATCAGGTATCTACGTACTATCCTAATATTTACCTCACTTGGGTTAAAGGGCAGAGCCCTCATAAAACTATCCTAATATTTAAAGGATTTGGAAAATAAGCTTATATTCAATTTGTCCCTAATTTAAATGGTTTTATATAATTCCATTTTTTTTCTGTTTCTGCCCTGTGCTTTACAGTCTAAATATTTGAAATATTTAATACCAAAAGATTCTACTCCTAGTTCTTCAATCATTATAGTTCCCCCTTTCTAGACTTTCTGTAGTTGTATTCTAGTTTTTGAGCATGATAATGCCAGTTGCGGCTGGATGGTGGGTACACTGGGGTTTCTGAAGTAGCTCCAACGTTCAAAAGAAGCCATTTTATTCAGAGGTCACAAATTCTTCCTCAGACATATTCTAATTCAGTTTTTACAAATTCCCAGAGTAGCCAAATAATATCCATGTAGTTTGTTCAAATGCGATCATTTTTAAAAGATATTCATAGCAATTATTTAGAGTGTTCTGAAATATTTTTGTTTGTTTGCACAGTATGTATGTAACTTAGCCAGAATACAAGCTCCTAGAAAGGCCCACAATTAATGTTCCTTTAGTATTCACTCACAGATCTTAGAAAGTGATAAATATGGTCAGTGTTCCATAAATACATGTTGATTTGTAAAGGATTCATCAGACACTTGCTAGATTAGAGAAAGGTCAAAGAAGAGGAAAGCAGCGTATGGAGGAGGAGAGACTGAAAGAGACTTCAAAGGCTGAACTTTTGGGGAAACCCTCTAAGTGCACGCTGGTGTGCGATTGCTCACAGGCCATCGATGATGTAGACAGTAAGTACAGTACAAACCAGAGCTGCGAGCAAGCTGATTTAATTTTTGTGTTAGCAGTGGAACAGACTATAAAATATTTATGTTCATATTCTAAATATGTATGCCTGGGGTAAATAAATAATTTACTGTTAGGGCTATACATTATTTACAAAGTTATTCCAAATATATATACTATTTGCATTTTACTGAAAGTAAAACAGGTAGAGTGATGGTCTTCTCGGCTTCTGAAGTAAAAAAAGAAAAGAAAAAATCATCAAGACTTAAGCTACAGTAGGAAGTTTTCTATAAAACAGAAAGAAATAGCAGAAGATAGCCCCAAATAGATCGGAAAAACCAAGAAAACTTAATCTTCCTTGTAGAAAATTACAATTTTACCTGATATCCCAAATTGCAACCATGGAATTACCTGGATTTTCTTTGAAATTTCTGAGGTGGGCTTGTGTATTAGAAACTTTGGTGCCAAAAGCTTTTTTTTCTTTTAAATTCCTTTAATTCCTTAAGGCTTGCCGTGACCTCAAAGAAGTAAGCAAGATAAAGTCCTGTTTGGGTTGGGTGCTCAATAAAATGTGGTTATAAGGCTGATTCATTTTTTGGAATCACTCTGCTGAAGATTTCAAATCCCCAGCAATGACTTGGAAGAAAACTTCTTCTTGAATAAACTTGCTTTCTTGTTAAGCATATTATCTGTTGGTTGCCCAAACAGTTCAGCCTCATTCCCTTGGCAAGCAGAATTCTGAGTCAGAGTCGTTTTTAGACACATCTGTTCCCAATATCAAGCATGGAACCATGCCTTCTGGTCTCCCACACACAGGCCTGGAGGCACCCTCAGCATGGCTTGTAGGAGTTAAATCGACCAGGATTGAGGGGTGGGTCTGCAACCCAGAGGCAGTAGACTCTACTGACCAAAGTTCTCATCTCCATCCTTCAGCCAAAGTATGGGCATATATTGGAAATTAACGATTCTTCCTTATGTGCCCCAAACCTCATTTCACACTGCATACTAGCAAGGACATAGGTTCTAGAAGCAGACATTCCCAGTTGCCTCCCTATTTTATCTGGTGATCTTGGGCAAGTTAACCTCTATGTGCTTCAGTTTCTTCATCTCTAAAATGGTGATAATAATATTAAACACTTCATAGGCTTTTTATGAGGATTAATTGAGTTAAAACAAACAAAACGCTTGAATAATGCCTTACACATAGTAAGTTTTCAAGGAGTGGTAGCTGTTGTTATTATTATTATTGTTATCATTGATACATATTAGTCTTATCTATTAAACTTTGAGCTTATAAGAAAGGAATCTTCCTTGTTAATTTTGATAACTAGCATAGTTTTGGCCTCGTCAGATGATCAGAAAATATTTATGGAATGAAGGAATAGGTGGACACATATGAATAAATGGATTAATTAGCAAATGAGCAAGTGAAGTGAGATTTATACTTCAGAGGGTTATTAAGTTCTTGAGAATGTTCAGTGTAACTGACTCCCATCATATACATATATAACTCTACAATATAACTGTCATACAATTCATAACTTATTGACAATCTTTGTATCACTTAACTATAGATCCCTTTGTCATTCCTGAATAGATAAACTTTTCCCCCCAGTTTGGTTGGAAATTGCTCTGATTTCCCTGTGCTATTGGCTGTTGCATTTACCTAAGAAATTTGTAAAAATGGTGCTCTCAAAAAGGAGAATCTCTTGAGCTCCTTGGTAGCTTTTTATGTTACATTGCTGAATCTCTCTTGCGAGCTTCCTACCAGTGAACTGGTATTATGAACAACAATCTTTGGGTGGCAAAATGGTGGACAGTAGGTCTCTCAGTTTCCTGAGAACAATTGTACTTACCTTTCTCTAGGAACTCTAGAGTCACAAAGGATTACAGTAACCCTGCTACCAGGAAATCACCTGGAACATGGATCCTAATAGAGGCAGAGCTGGTTAGAACTTGTGGCAGCCAATGGGAGGAAGCAGAGGCAATATTGCTTTCTGGGATTTCCATGACCAACCCAGTGCCCAGACCTGGGGTTGGCTTGATCCAGTTGCCAACCTATGAGTGGGTAGGATGAGGTGTTGCCTGGACTACAGCCAAGTACAAAATCCATGTTGCTAGGTAAGGACCATTGGTGGTAGGGGAGGAAGTAGCCTATCGTATCAAAAGTCTGCAGCATCCTCAGTTTGAATGTAAGTGAGGAGGGTGGAAGCCAACTCCAAAGAACCCATCTTATCGAGACTCAAAAGTGAGGACTCCTTGTTCTGCTCATATCCACACGTACAAGGGGGGGCGGGGGGGGGGGGTGCAGAGACGAATATTTATGTAACATTTTGATCGGACCTAAAAATCATTCTTGACACTGACCCTCATTCCTTCCTTGATATTCACCCTATCCCTGAGCCATGCTAAGTCAATGTGTCACTTTCACCAATATTGGACTACCCAAAAGAGAAAGAATAACGGATAGAATAAAGGAGAGAGAGCAAGACTCAGGGATGGGTTGAGGCAGGGACCTCTGTTGTGTACAACACTTGATCATAAAGCTATGTGAATATTTTGATGTAAATGACCACCATCTCAAAATCCCCTTTTTCAATTATTTTTACTTTTCGCAATGAAGTTTCTGATAAGAATTTATGTCTTTCAATATATATTCATTAATAGAGATAATGCTTTATGTCACTAAATTATCTGCCATCTAATTTAGAGTTCAAAGATCTCATAGCTTTTTGCCACTTCTTTCTTCTGTTTTCCTCTTTAAAAAATTCTTTGATCTCTAAGAGTTAAAATGTTAATAATGCTTTTCTTTAAGATAGTGAATGATTTTTATTTTCTTTTGTGTGCTTTCATGTACTTTCTAAATATTATACAAAGGACCTCCATCACTTTAGTAATCAGAAAAAAACTATTAAAGTAATAATGGAATCTCCAAAGAAAAACTCACAGTACTTCCCGTGAGGCCCTCCTCTGGCTTTCTTTCATGAAAACATTTTCTCTCTGCATGTGAGTCACAAGAAATTGCTTAGTGCTTTGTTATTCTTATTTCCATCAAGTCTCTTTTACATGATCCCCACTTCTTTTCATCACCCCTGCTTCTACTCTTGTAATAAGATAGTTCATGGAGGGCAAAATAAAGATGGTATTTGTCAGTGGTGCCATGAAATACTTCTTCCAACTTTATGGTATTGATTGTTAATCAAAACTGCATCTCCTTACCCTCCCTCCATCTGCTCAGTTCACATTTTGTGGCTGAGCATGAACTTAAAAAGGAAAGCCATGTACTTTCTCCCATCTTCCCCATCTCTGGCGCCATCTCTAGTCACGCAGGATGGGGGAGGGTGACGCTCCAAGTCATATGCTCAGTTTGTTCCTCCCCTCACAAAGACATGTGGAAAGCACTTCTCATTCTTGCTTTTACTCAGGTCTAGCCGTTAGCTCATAGCAGCCCATTTTCTGTCTTTTAAGTTTATTTCTTAACAATTCAAAAGAGAGTAAAGATGCCTTTTTTACACTCTACACTTTCTGTTTCCACTGTTGATTCAATGTATGGACTAAGAGTTGCTTAGGGATGTTGCTACCTTCGGAAGCTCCTTCTCTGCTTTCTCCGCTCTTGAGTCTTTCTTTTGAGAATAGGTCCTGGGCTTTACTAAGCTGGGACCTCACTCCATGGAGCACCTGGGTATAGCTGAGGCTTGACTGGATCTCAGATTCTTCTGCCTCTCCCATCCTGTCTTCCTTTCTCTTTTAGAGACATGACAGTTCTGGATCCTTTTTCATTGAAGGATATTCCCAGTGAGATTGGTAGAAAGAAATTTCGGTCAGATCTCTAGGAAGGAAAAAGAAAAGAGATGACTTTAGAAAGGGACTGCTACAAATACTGGAGACCTAAACGTTCCTCAGTGCAATTCCTGAAAACTCCTCTGAGGGAAGAACATCCTGATTCTGTTTAAACATTCCTTTCTCCCATTCAGTAGGGCGTGATCAATAAAGAGTCCTCTACCCTTCTCTCTGTTGGAACACCTTCCTCCCACATCTGCCTGGCTAATTTCTACTCATCCTTCAAGGTTCAGCTTACACATGAACTCTTCTTGGAATTAATTGTTTCCTCCTGCCTTAACTCCAGTGAAAACCTTTCCCTACGGCCCACCCCTGTTTAGCTAGATGACCATCCTTCAAACATCCACAATACCCTCTTTACTGTGGTCCTCATCGTCTTGCATTGCAATTGTTTATTTTTGCCACTAGACTGGGAGCACTTTCGGGAAAGGCTCTGTGTCTTCCTTTTCTTGTTCTCCTTGACACCTAACATGGAGCTTAGAGCACAGTAGGATCTTAGAAAGTATTTGTTGAATGGATAAAGGTTTGTGGCTCTGGTCCTTGTATTGCAGAGTCGAAAACATAGAACCCATAGTAGGCAACAAAGGCCAGACTGTGTCTCAGAAGTTCCCCCCTGTGATTCAAATGGCCAGTGACATCTTTTTCTTGTTGGAAATGTGAGATATCAATAGAACCAAGTTTTCCTGAAAATAAAGTCCCCATGTAGCCTCTGGGACTCCACAGCAAGGCTCCCACAGTAGAAAGGGCTAATCTGTACCATTGTGTTCATCTCTTGTTGTTTCCTTAGCCATCTCATGCAATTCAATTTGGTTGTTTTTATGATTCTTCATCTCTAGCGTTGGCAAGAGGCCGGTGAGTAAGAAAAAAGTCTCTGATGTTGCACGACTGTTTGGCAGTCACTCATAGTTTTGGAAATCCAGAGACCATCCTGTTGTTGTCTGTGCAGTGGCATAGCTCCAAATATTTCAGCTCTGAAAAATGAGCTCAGTTTCTGTCTATGAGCTAACACATACACTTTGCACATACTCTATTGTCAGTTATGTGGAGAGAGTGTCCCAGAATAAAAATGCTAAAACTGAATGGGCTCCTTGAGATCATAATCTTATTTTTCAAAAAATAAAGAATGTGACAGCCAGAGAAGTGAAGTGATTTTCTCAAGGTCACAGAGCATTTAGTAATAAAAATAGGAGTGGAACTAGAAGTCAGGTGTCTTGTGTCCAGTCTAGTGCTTGTTCTCAACACACTCCACAGTCCTTTCTAGCCTGGAGGAGGAGGGCTCATGACTCAGAGTGGAGCGTGGAGAAGGGAGTGAATTCCCCTTTCCAAAACAGGGGGAAGATAATTCCGGGAAGACTGGTATGTGACCTTAGGCAGCTATGGAATCTCTCTGGGACTTAGTTTCCTTGTCTGTAAAGTGAGAATGACAATAGCTACCCTACCAGCTGTCTGGAAGATTAGGTGACATCATGTTAGCACAGAGCCTGGCCCAGAGCCCAGCCTTAGGGGACACTCAGTGAACAAAGGCCACCATTACCAAGGAGCATATTGTCCAGCTCTGCTCCGGTAGCAACTCCAAACTGCTTCCCAGTGGCACTCAATGCAGCAACCCGCTGGCTGCCGAACCGGACACATTGGTGTGAAGGGTTTGAGAGCAAATCTGGCGTGTAAGAAAACAACCAAATTCCCATAAAGCCTAATTATTTGCACTGTTTATTAATAGACCTGCTCCTTGTCCTCTCCCTCAGCAACAAATTAGGGTCTGACTTGAGGTATTGCTCTGGGAAAGCAGGGTCTCGCATGCATTTCTGCAGGGGTATCTCCTGCATAATGCAGTTGCACATCCAAAGGGGGCCTGGATGGCTGCCCACTCTCAGCTTCCCTTTGTATCTCTCATCATTACCCATAAAAGCCTTCATTATGATTCGGGTCCCCTTTATTACACATATAAATAAAATCTGACACAATCGTAAGTAAATCCTTTAGTGGTAAAAGCTGATAAAAGAGGGCAAAAATTAATTTTATGCATGAAGAATCTCATTAAGTAGCTCCACGGAAATAAACGGAACTGGCATCAGAGACTGGCGGGGCGCAGGCTTCTCTAGTCTGCAGGTTCCATGGCCTTCCCAGGAGGAAGCAGCGTGCTCCTGCTGCCGCTGGTGGCACCCAGGATCACACGTTGTGCCAGATCCGCACCTGCGGAAAAAGGCTTCAGTCCAAGGCAGACAAAGCCTAGCCCCAAGGCTCTTCTACTCCAGCTCCCCAGAGGCCCCAGGCTGGGGAAGGGCCTTCTAGAATCCTTGCAGGCAGCCCTGGGCAAGGCAGGAGACTGCTCCTGAGAAGATTGCATTCAAGATACCGGCTAAGCTCTAGCTCCTCCTCTGTAGGATCCTCCAGTGCTAATTTTAACCCCCTAGATGACCCTCAAAGAGGGGCTGAAGGGTGGAGTGGAGGCCCAAAACGGGAGGAGAAGAGAGAAAATGGGCTGCAGTAGCCGCAGCTCCAGCAGAACGAGGATTTGTCCACCTGGGGCAGGAAACGCACAACAGGCTCAGATGCTCTGCTATTGGGGCCCAAGCTTCACTGACCGATTCCATATCAGTTCTTGACTGACTGATGCTATATCTAATCACTGCACTTTTTCTGGTTTTGATTCATATTGTGTAGGATCAAGGATCCATTTAATGTGGTTTGTTTCCCCTCCTGGAAGAGAAGCTGTTGACATAAGACAAAAATATTCTGTTCAGTCCATCTCCTTTCACCAGCTTTCTACTCTCAGCCATTGTTTGTCCCAGCCTGTGCCATTCATCAGTGCAGGATGAGCTTGTTCTGGATTCTCTAAAATGACTCATTATCAGTTAGCAGTGGTTTCAGTGTACGAAGACCACTTCATACCCAAGCAGCTTATTGCAGATCATTTTGATTGGTCAACTATGTGTGTAAAAACAATAGATTTTAAACATATGGTGCAAGTCTGCAGAGAAGACAAGATTTTAAGAAAAGATTATGTTCTTCACTTATTTTGCAGCATGGCTAGGTGTCTTCTAAGGAATAGGCAATCAGATGCAATGGGGGCTGTATGGGGTATCAGAGAAAACAAGCAATAACAATACTAATAAGAGCAGGAAGGAAAGAGCAATCCTTCAATAACAGTCCCGTATTGGTGTTAAACTGTTCCAGAGAAATTCCATCTGTAAATCCCTGAAACATGCTGAGAAGACACTGAACACACTAACATTGTGCTCAGGCGGCCGTGGGGCAGAAATAGCGTTAGAATAATGGTCAGGAGGGAATTGAATTCAGAAGCACAGGAAGTGATAGAACTAAGTTTGAATCCCAGCTCCATCTCTTAGCAGGTCTGAGACCTTGTGTAAAACAGTTCATCTTTCTGGGCATCAGTCTCCTTAGAGTTCCTCTGAGGATTGTAGAAAGCTCCGCAGTGCCTCTTCTACCACTGGTTCTCCATAAATGACAGCTCGTACGAGACTTTAGGGAGCTGAGGTTGGATGTATAAGGTGAGCCAGATTGTAATCTCTGGGCCTTTTCCAACCATTCGCATCTGACTACTCGTTCATCTCACTGAATATCTTCTGTCCCATATGTCGTGCCTTCCCTTTGATGAAAGTACCAAAGTGATTAGGATAAAGAGCAAATACATTTTTGAAATGTCAGCCCAAGAGCATTGTTTGGATATGGTTTCCAAGTTCCTTTCCAAATTATTTTCAAAGAATTCAATTTTCTTTCTTAACTATGCTTGCTGATCAAGGCACCTGCTTCACTGGTCGGGAATGCCTTTGGCTTTAAAAACTCCGTCCTCATCATAAGCCTCAGCTTAATTGCTTTGCTCTCAATTTTATTTTGACTGTGACCAAAAAAACAGGTAATATTTTAGCTATTAATACTTCATTTAAAGTGAAAAAAGTCTAAAATCTAACTAACTGTCATGCCTCCAGTTTATTAGGGAATTATCCATTTGTGATCAAGTGAAGATAATTTTGCTAAATAGTAAGATCATGAAATCTATGCAAGTTACTTGCTGCTCTTTCAGAAAGCCATGCTTTAATGAGGATTTAACACTTTGAAAAATATGAATTTACCTGTTTCTTCCTAGGTTCTTTTTCATGTATGTCGATCTCATGGAACTATTATTAGACAAGGGTGAAACATGAGGTAAAAGGAACCTCATGGTTTTCCAAACTAGCTGCACATTCCATCTTTTGTGCGGCCTTAAAAAATATGGCATCTTGGGGCCAGCCCAGTGGCACAGTGGTTAAGTTCACGTGCTCTACTTCAGTGGCCCTGGGTTGGCAGGTTCAAATCTCAGGCGCAGACCTACACACCACTCATCAAGCCATGCTGTGCCATGCAAAAATAGAAGAAGATTGCCACCAGTGTTGGCTCCGTGACAATCTTCCTCAAGCAAAAGAGAGGAACAGTGGCAACAGATGCTAGCTCAGGGACAATCTTCCTCACCAAAAAAATAAATTAATTAAAAAATTGAAAAATATGGAATCTTGGAACTTACCCCCAGATATCCAGGAGTACAGCTTGAGGTGTTCTTTTAAATCACCCATGTGCCACTGTTCCATGAGCCTGTATTTTGGGAACATTAATCTAGTCCAAATTCCACATTTCACTACTGAGGAAATCAAAAGAAAGAGGATTTAAAGCAACTGTAAAGGTCACAGAGCTAGATAATGACAAATAGAATTCTGACTACTACAGCCATTCTGAATCCACCACTTTCATACTGCTCCTTGGAACAATCGGTTTGATGTTACTATCTGTATGGGACTTATAAAATGATTTCTTTAACATATGACTGAAAAGGTAGACTCTGTAATCCTTATCCTAAACTATAGAAAATAATATTACAATATCAAAACAGAAAAATGCCAAGATTATAATGGAAGATGCCTCCAAAACAATTTGAATTTGGAGAGAGAATGGAGAAGATTTAGGAAATCTCAATTTTGCTTTCTCAGCGGTTTCTGGAAGGCACTCCACTTATCTGACCTGTTGGGTCTTGGGATGGCCAAGCAAGGTATCTTTGCTTATTTAACAACCACATCGACTTCTGCATGGATGGCCCAGGTACCAAGGAACTCGTGCTGTAATTGGCCAAGCTATGACATGGTTGGTTTAGCTCAGAGGAGGAACCAGGCATGCTATCTTGTAACTCTTTGAGAACCCAGATCATCCCACGTGATAGAATCTGGCCACTCTTTCCACCTCTTTTTCCAATTCTGCCTTATCTTCACAATGGTTCTGGGAGAAGCAGTTGGAATAGATACATGCACCATAAATAAATTGTCCAATAAATTGTCCAATAGCTGCAGAGTTGCTGGAGTTGGGGCTGATGGCAATCCTTGACCCTGTCCTGACTCTTTATGCCCTCTGGGTTGGTAGCAGTAAACTCCTGTACTTTGCTCCTCTCCTTTTTGTCTCAGATCTCCCTTTTCATGATGATAGCAGAAACTAATTCCTTTGTGTTTTCCATGTTTGAATGGCTTAAGTTCCCCTGATGAGTTCAGTGTAAAGACAATTTGTATGGTAAGGACTTATTAAATTATGAGCAAAATGTGGCAATTTGGCTATTAGCATAGTGTTTGGTCATCAATATAAGTCTATAATAATAAGATAATAACTACTGATGATTCCTTATAATATTAATCATGTTAACGATTTTGATACAGAAGTGTTTTTCTTGTGAAAGATTCCAAATCCTTTTATCATATTCAAAAACAAATATGCTCAGTCTGCAGCTAGCAGCTTTTTAATCTACATTCCCAAAGCATCTTGAATTAGAAGAACATATTTCTTCAGCGCATTTATCACAATATACTATAATTACTTGTTTTTAAGTCCATCTCCTTTGCTAGATTTTGAGCACCTCAAGAGCAAATGCCATGACTGATTTGCTGTATCCTCGGGAGCTTAATGCAAGGCCTGGCCCCAGTAGGTGTTCAGAAAATGCTTGTGAATGAATTCAGGGAAGCTCTTGGGCTCAAGAAGACACTGGGTGGTCATGGCAGCCGACACAAGGCGTCCGTCAAAGAACAACGAGCACTCTGGACTTCGAGTTTTGGTTTTACACATTGCAAGGAGTCCTGCTCCTGCCTGCCTTGTGACACACACTGCTGTGGGTTAGAAGCCTTGGCAGGGGTAAGGCTTTTTGCCATTCTGTCAAACTTGGCAACTTGCTATAAATTTGGATAACAGGTCTACTCAGTTAAAAAAAAAAATGAGGCAATCTGGGCTTTTTCTTCTCTTTATTGGAGTCAGATAGCTGTACAATTTTTTTCAGGCTTCATTTTACTGCCTTCTGGTTATAAGAGAATAGAGAAACCACCTTAGATGGGAATTTACATTAAGCTGGCGCTCTCCAGCTAGGTGGCCATTTGCTACAGAGAGGATTGTTTGCAAGAAACTGTTTTAGAATTCAGAGCGCACAGACACACTACACTAGCTTTTTGGTTTAATAATGATTCCTAAGAAGGCACAACTGATCTACGCATTCATCCAATAAGTATTTGTTATGGTTCCAGTAAATTAGGCCAAGATTTTCCTCTACAGTTATTTTTGGAGATAAAACACCAGGTAAGCAGAAAAAGCTTCCTGGTCTCTAGAGCTTTAGCAGATATTTAATTCTCCTTTGCCAGGGTACAATCAGCAGATGTCATAAATCAGACTCTTAGAATCCATCAACGGTCCCATCCTAGAGTCTTGGCAGGTAGGAGTGGGCTGCACTAGTTGCTATGAGGGGAAAAAAAGCAAACAGTGCCCTCTGCACTGCACATGTTCCATCCCAAATGCACTTATGCTCATCTTGCTGACTCGGTAACTGAACTCAAACAGAGCCTGCCCACTTTGATTTGCTCCTTTCTCTTAATGCTTTCCAAAAGGTAACAGGAGAATTGCAAATAAAGGAACAAGTGAGGAAAAGAAGATACACCCTAAGTAGTTTTTAAACAATTCATCTGGAAACTTATATACAGCTGCCTACGCGTCTGAAGGCCATTACCAGTTCCTGGAAGGATAATATCCCCACTTTCTGTGCACTGCATTTATCTTCTCTGCTTGGCAGGAGAAAACCATTCTGCTTTGCCTTGCAGGAGATCAGGGACCAATTTTCATCTCACCTGCTTTCATCTCAGCTCATACCACCACCCAGTAGGGCGCTGGGCATGTAATGTTCAGTAAATATTTGTATACTTTACTCAGTGGTCCTATTTTCTCCTGCACTAAACAAAACAAGACAAAGTCACTTGAGTCTGAGATATCTGCAGAAAAGAGTGGCTAGGAGGATTCCAGGCATCTTTAGTAGAACGGCGTACCATATCAGGTCATAGCCGTCTTTTCACATTAGGTGTGGCTCTTTCTAACTCCCCAAATCGATACACTAGCTCTGATGTTTACCACTCCCTGATGACTACTTGTGGTGGTTTGTAAAGAGTACAGTGACTCAGTAGTTTCCAGTCCTGACATTATGTGACCTCAGAAAAATTATGTAACTTCACTGGACATTTATTTCTTTATCTTATAATAAGAAGGTTAGAATAAATCATCTCTAAGATTAGAATGGTTGAGGTTTTCTCTGGGTGCCAATACCACTCTGAGGGCAGGCCCTGCCTGGAGCACTGTGCTGATGAAAATTGGGAGATCCCGTTCTGGCTCAGAAAATGAATATCTGGTTTGAATACTATGTCTGTTGTCCAGGTGGAAGGGAGAGTTTTCAGATTGAGTAGTATGCATACACCAGCTGTTTTCTGACCCATACTAGTTGTGTGGCCGTGGACAAGTTACTGAAGTGGTTTTTAAAATCTGTAAGTGAACATAATGTTAGTACCTAATTTGTGGAGTGGTAATGAGAATTAAATATGGTGATGATACATATGAAACACTTAGAACAGTGACTAGAACATGGTATATACTCAGTAAATGTTAGCTATTATTATTTTTGTTATTAATATTACATTTCAATTATATAACTAAGATCTCTTTCAGCTCTGGTATTTAATTATAATAAGCTGATACTTGCATTTGAAGAAAAGGACTAGACTTATGGTGTGCATTGAAATGCTTGATTTTGGATAATCTTCTAAGAAATGTCATTGGTGGTTTGCCACTGGGGGTCAGGAGCAATCATTCTTCAGAGTTGGTAGCAAATAAGTTAGTCCTATTTCCACGGCAAGCAGACTGCCAGGTAATGATAAATGTAACTGGGATTCTTTCTTCTTTCTACTTTTCATTTATTTGCTAATTCATAAAATATATAATTAGTGAATACCTACTATGTGCCAGACACTGTTGTAGACACTGAAGATGCAGTGATAATTAAAGCAGACAATATCCCTGTTCTCTAAGAGCTTACTTCTAGTGGGGGTAACAGGCAACAAATAAGTAACAAAGAAAAAGATCAATTTCAAGTAGTGATAGGTGCTATGATGACAATAAAACAGTTGTGTGATAGCACATACTTTATACTGGGTGGCCAGTAAAGGCGTCTGTGGGGACAGATATTCGAGCTGCATCCTGAGTTATAAGTAGGAATCAGCTACTTGAGGATATGAGGAAGATTGTTCCAGTCAGTGGGAACAGCTTGTACAAAGGCCTTCACAGAGGAGCTTGGTATAATTAAGGAACAGAAAGAAGCCCAGTGTGGTTGGAGCAGAGTTAGCACAGAGAAGAATAGAAAGGGCTGAGATGGGCAGTCAGGTGGGGACCGGATGGTTTTGAGCATTTTAGGTCCTGGTAAGAAATTTAGATTTTATTCCAAATGTATTGAGAAGCCATCCGAATGCTATAAGCAGGGAAGTGACACAATCTGATATACATTTTTAAGAGATCACTGATGTCTTTGTGACAAATGGACTTCAGTGGACAAAAGTGAAATCAGTTAACCAGTTGCCACTAATCCAAGTAAGAGTTGAAGGGGCTTGGAAGGTGAAGAGAATGGACAGATTGGGGATCTTCAGAGACGGAGGTGAGAAGATATGCTTCCAAAAGTGTTTAACATCTTATCTAATATCACATTTGTCCATATCTGAAAACTTCTTTAAGGCCTTAAGTCCACCATTTCCTCAAGTATTTTCATTAGTCTGTAAGTATTCTGCTTGGTGTTCTAGAAGCCTAAATGTATTAATGCTACTTTTCGGAGTATTTGTCTTGGAAAAGAAAATTGCTCCCTTGCAAGTCACACACTAAGAAAGTGAATCAATAGGTACCGCCAAAACGAATATCATTGCTTGGTCTCGGAGATGTCACTCTGATTTTTATTGTGCTTCCACATAAAATAAATTACTTCAATTTCACAGCAAGTAATTAAATGCCCATTAAAATCCTCACTTGTTAGAGAGGGAACATGAAGTAACCTCTATTCCTAAACCAAAGAACTCGCAAAACTTGCAACATTCCCCCTGCTTGGCTGGCCCAATGTGGGTGAGCTCCTTGCTTCCTATCTTTCTAAGTCTAGACCACTAGAGATTAAACAAGTCACTTTGTGAAGTCTAACTTCCCCAAAGGAAACTCTAATCTCAATATATATCTGGCAGTGACTTTGTCCCCACTACATTGCTTTTAAGATATGTTTCCGGGATTCCTGCTATCCTAGAGGAGGGATTGAGAGCTCAAGTCCCTTTGCTTCCCATTCGAATGAGTAACGTGTCTCTGCTCTTATTGACCTTTCTTATCTTGTCACTTTCACATCTAGCTACAGACATGTTTCTCCAGCACAGTTTGACTTTCATCGTGGGCAAAGTTTGGCTGTTCATTTGTAAAGTATAGAATATATAAAATATAGTTGACTGGTCAGCTAATCAGTATGTAGATCACTCAGGCCTTTACATATATTTTTTAATCCCTAACCTTTCCTCTCTAATGTCAGCAGAACGCTCGTTTATTGGAAGGGTAATGAGTAGCTCTTAGAAGGAAAGACTGACTAAAAAACTTAGAAAATGACCATACCTGAAGTAAGGTAGGTGAAGAGAACTATTGCTAAAATATAGTATGGAAGAGCTGGTTGGAATGCCACGCACTGCACTGAATGCACTGTCCCTGTTAGGGGGCCCCAGTACCGCCATTGGCCCCACTTCATCAGTACTACTAGACAATGAGTAATACTGCCAATGCCAATGCCAATGCCTCCTTAGGCAGAGCTGCCGCTGTTTTCCCAGATGCTGCTGTTTCTGTCTCTGCTGCTTCTGCCACAACCAGATTGAGTTCCGGACTGTCCCTAGTTCTTTGTGTCATTACATCTAGATTCAAACTCCCAGGAGGCAGTGTCCCTCTGGAAGTAATTAGATTCCTAAACTGGTATTTTTGGCTTCTATAGTGATAGGCAGTACTTTGCATCTCAGTCTTTAATTCTGGGACTTAAATATATATCTTAGAAGTTGCTTTGATGAAAGTCTGTTGGGAGTAACTTTTGTAGTTTATGACAACATTGTCTGTTTCTCTCTTTTTCCAAAAGTTTAATAGATATTTACAAGACACAACAGACTGTATGTATTTGAAGTGTACAATTGATGTTTTGAAATATGTATACACTGTGAAATCATCACTCTCAGAAGTTTTCTACTGTTCTTCCCTGTCTCCTCCTAAGCAACTATAGGTTAATTTGAATTTTCTAGAATTGCGTGAAAATGTAGTCATACAACATGTACTGTTTTATGTCTGACTTTTTTCACTCAGTATAATTGTTTCAGATTCGTCTATGTTGTTATTAATAGGTTTTTTTTTTTTACTGCTGATTAGTGGCTCATTGTGTGTGTGTGTGTGTGTGTGTGTGTGCATGACAATTTCTTTGTACATTTACCTTTTTATGGACATTTGGGTTGTTTCTAGTTTTTGACTATTACAAATAAAGATCTTCTGAATGTTTGTGTACAAGTTTTTGTGTGCATATATGCTTTTATTTCTCTTAAATAAATACCCAGGAGTGGAATGTCTGTGTCATATTTTAGGTATATATTTAACTTTTTAAGAAACTGCAAAATATTTTCCAAAGCAATTGCACCATTTTACCACCAGCAGTGCATAAAAGTTCCAGTTGCTCCATGTCATCCCCAATGCTTGACATGGCCCAAAATTGCCATAGTCAGGCTGTCAAAGGTCTGGTAACACATATTACTGTTCACGATCCAGTGGAAAAGAGAGAATATCTCCTTTCTAATACCATATATAAAATATTAGGAAATAATTCTACCAGTGTGCCAATCATTGTCTCATGACACTCTTGGCCAAGAAAGGAAAGAGAGAATAATTGGAAATTCCATCATGGCTGCAGAAAATGGGGGAGGAAAAGTTCCCCAAAGCACGGCAGGCTTATTACCAGTGAAATGGAGGGAATCTAGGTAAATAAAACACTAGATGTTTTAGTATCGCCTTGAGTTTAAGGAGTGTGGAGATTGAAAGAAACACTAGTAACAGTATCCAATAAACTTTGTGAGTAATACACAAGGTAGGCAATATAAATCTGGCTTTCTATGTCCGAGAGGATCAGGCAAGAAGGGGAATGATGGTTCAAGATAAAAGATCTGGAGTATACAGTGTTCCCAATAAGGACCCCATGTGTTGACCCAGAAGAGCTCAGTGGGAGGTAATAAATGAGTCCTGGAAAATGAGCCAAGGAAAAAACCAATACAGTGGCTTTTAGTATATCTTGGAAGCTTGAGAGTGCCTCCTGGGAGTTCATACTTTATCACTTAACTTGATGACTATTCCTTATGATTAAAAGATTCTGCCAGTGAATCATGAACACAACATGGAAAACTAAGTTCAAGAAGTGTTTAATTATCCCCAACTTAAAGCAGCCCTAGTTCTGGCCTTCAGGCTCATCTCTGTATGTTCCACCTTTTCTTTAAGTCTAGCCTTCCTTCAAGAATGCGCTCGGCTAGTGGGGAGATGTTGGATATTTAGTTTCCTCACTACGATTAATTATTCTAGTGATTTGGATAATATTCAAATAGAAATGTGGATTGTTATTTTGAGGTACCAATTTGTATTCTGCTTCTGTAAGCCTGGTCTTTCTTTGTATTTTTATCTTCAGTGCAGAGATGACATTTTTAATGTTAATATTAATGATATCATCTAATTACAGCTTGCCGATGCTTTATGGAAATAAAGTCCGTTGCGTGATAGAGATTTGCATGAGATATTGATGCCTCTCAAGTGTTTCAGAACTTAAACCAATTAAATTGTTTCCATCTCTTATGAGGTTTGAGTAATTATCTAATGAAACATATAAAATTATTGCCATTATAAAGAGGTATTTCATTGAGAGGGAATGCGGATGTTTGAATTCCAAAACAAAGGTGAGGAGGATCCTTTGACTTGCAATGTTTCAGATGTGCTGGTTTGACACTGAAATGTCTATTCTTCACCTCTACCTAACCCACCTCATTTCTCTCCATCTCATTAAATTGCTGCTATAGACTTACTCACTGGGAAAAGTTTTGTCTGCAAACTTAAGCATTGCTACCACGTTCTCTCAGGTATAAATACTCCTTAAAACCAAGTTCATGGGCCTTAGCTTTCATTGGCCATTCTTTCATTCCAAACTTCCAAGGCCAGTGTTCTATCATTTGACTGAAACAGTCTTTAATTCCAGGTGCTAGGTGGCATGGCTACATGAAGACCACAGGGACTAAAAGATGAAGTCACTTTTTATTTCGTGTTCTCTAACTTGCCTGACTGATTCTCTCATATTCATCACATCAAAACAGAGTGGCTTCTTTGCTCTGAACTTTAGGCTGCACTGAATCAGAAAAGAAACTTAGATCAGAAACAGAAAATGTTCTTCAAACGAGTTTCCTAAAAAGACTCCAACAGCAATTACCAGGAGACTTCTGGAGAACTCAACAATTTCTTTGGGAACTCAAGAAAAAAGTGGTACTTCTAAATAAATCATCCCAGGAACATTAGTGAACAAGGTCTTTAAAATAGATGCCTCAGGAGTTGAATTTTCTCAGCAAACACTATCAGTAGTTCATAGAAAATCTCGATACCACAGTTGAACATTGCAATAATAGCTTTCTTTCATTCATTTCTTTGAATAATTGAGGGTTCTCGTTATCTTTATGATATGATGACTCAGCTAAATATTTGCTAAGAATATATGTGCTCCAAACTGTGGATACAGCTAGCGGAGCTGAAAAAACAGCAGGAAAATAGTCATTCCCTTACAATCTAGTAGTAAAGACAATAAGAAAATAAACAAGGAACAAAGTTATTAGATGCTACAGTAAGAGCACCAAACCAGGATTCAGGACACCTGGAGGGGCCTTCATGCTCTGCTAGTTTTTTACTGGGCGGCTTTAGGCAAATCAGGTAATCTTTTTGGATCACAAGTTCTTCATATATAAAATTATAATGTTAGATTAACCTTTTAGGATTGGTTTCCTCATGTAATCATATTTCTAAAGGCAGAAATGGTACAAAGGGAGGTTCTTTTACATTTTTGTTCCCTTTTCATTTCTTACCTGAATTACCAACAGTGTCCTATATCCTGGGAGCTGATCCTCACCCAATTAGCTCCTGTTCTGATGTTCCCCAAGTGACATTACTGATTCAAGGGACAGTCACTTTTTATTGCTGGTTGACATATTTTGAATCTTCTCCTCCATTTCCATCTTCATTATAGTCTGGGAAGCTGTATCCTCTTCCTCAGACTCCTCCACAGCCAGAGGTGATCAAGTTATTCAATTCTGATTAATGAAATGTAACCAGTAGTTTAGTGGAGTTACCTGGGGAAATTTTTCTTTCCCTCTTGTGTTTCCTTCTCGCCTTTTACTGCTGTTTTAAACACAATATGATGCCTGAAGCTGAGGCAACCATCTTGTTTGGTGTTGAGCCTCTGAACCAACCAGTAGCCACCTACCTCCAAGCTTCCTGTTGTATAAAACAAACAAACAAACAAAACCTTCACTTAATTTTATACTGCTGTAAATTGAGTTTTATGTTACTCGTATTTTAAACTATTCCTAACTGATACAGCACATTATGAAGTAATACGCATATAAAACTTCTTCATTATCTGAGGATAATTGGTGCTGAAAAAGGCCACTTCAGGTGAAATCACATAAAGCAGGGACATCAACATCATAGTGAATAAGGGTAAAGCGTTTAATTGAGATTTTGTCTTAGAAAATGAAACTCAAATTGGTGAAAATAATTTAATTAATACTTAACATTTGGGTTATAATTATAACTACAGGCAATGATACCATTGTGATATTTTCAATAGCTTTATAGAGGTATAATTGATATGTCACAAAATTTGCCCATTATAAATGTAAAGTTGGACAATTTTTAGTAAATTTATACAGTTGTACAATTATCACCACAATCCTGTTTTAGAACATATCTGTCACCCTAAAAATTTCCCTCATGCATGTTTTTTAGTCAAGCTTCACACCTGCCTGCAGCCCCAGACAATCACTAACCAGCTTTCTATAGCTATGGATTGGCCTTTTCCAGAAATTTCGTGTAAGTGGAACTATACAATATGTAGTCTTTCGTGTATGTCTTCTTTCATTTAACATAGTGGTTTTGAGGCACATTTATGTTGTTGCATGAATTAGTAATTTGATCTTTTGCTGCATAGTAATCCATTCTTTGGATATACTTCATTTTGTTTATCCATTCACCAGTTCATAGATATTTGGATTGTTTCCAGTTTTGAGTTATTATGAAAAATACTGTTATAAACATTGGTGAAAAAATCTTTGTGTAGACATACGCTTTCATATCTCTTGGGTAAATACCTAGGAGTGAAATTACTGGATCATATGGTAAGTATATGTTTAACACTGTTAAAAACTGCCTAACTGTTTTCCAAATTGGCTGTGCCAATTTGCATTTCCACCAGCAATGGATGAGCCTTCTAGTTTCTCCACGTGTTCTCCAACTCTTGTAACTGTCTGTCTTTTGGTTAATGACCATTCTAGTAAATGTATAGCATTGTCTCATTGTGGTTTTAATTTTCATTTCTCTAATGTCTAATGGTGTTGAGAAACTCTTCATGTGATTATTGTCCATTTATATGTAATTTTTTTCCCATTTTAAAGTTGAGTGTTGGTATTACTGCATAGAGAGTTCTTATAAATTTATACAAGATGCACAACACTTATTGGATATATGATTTGAAAATATTATCTCCCATTGTGTGACTTGCCTTTTTATTTTCTTAATGATGTCTTTTGCAGAGCCTATTTTTACAATAATGTCCAATTTATCAATATTTTCTTTTATGACTAACTTTAGTGTTATAATTAAGAAATATTTCTCTAAGCTAAATTGACAAAGATTTTCTGCAATATTTTATTCTAAAAGATGTATAGTTTTAGCTTTTTCGCTTAGATCTATGATCCATTTTGAGCTTATTTTTGTGTGTTGTGTGAGATAAGGACTTGAGTTCTTTTCGTTTTTTTTTAGATATGGGTATCCAGTTGTTCCAGCAGATTGTTGAAAAGACAATTCTTTTCCCATTGAGTTTCCTTGGCATCTTTGTCAAAAATAAGTATTTGTAAATATAAGGATATATATTCTGATATATTTCTGATTCTTAATTCTGTTTCATGATGTAAATGTCTATTCTGAGGCCACCACTACCTGAAAAAAGGTAGCATGTCCTCCAATTTTGTTATTTTTCAAAAATTATTTTGGCTAGCCTACATCTTTTGCATTTCCGTATAAATTTTGGGAACAGTTTGTCTATTTCTAAAAGAAAGCTTGATGGGATTTTGAGACGGACTGAACTGAATTATATAGATCAATGTGGAGAGAATTGTCATCTTAGAAATGTTTAGTCTTCCTCTTCTCTAAGAAGACATATTTCTCAATTTGTATGAATCTTTAAAAATTTCTATCAGCAACATTTTTTAGTTTTCGATGCACAGGTTTTGCACTTTTTTGTCAAAAATTTTCCTAAGCACTTTAATCCTTTTGATGCGATTTTGAATGTAATTTTCTTGATTGCACTTTGGATTTTTCTCTCCTAGCACATGGAAATGTAGTATTCATCAATCTTGCATCTTGCTATTTTCTTAAATTTGGTTATGGGCTCTACTAGGTTGTGTGTGAATTCTTTAGGATATTCTACATATGGGATCATGTTTTTTGCCAGTAAAGACAGTTTTACTTTTTCCTTTTCAAAATATATGCCTACAATGCTTTACGTGATATGACCTTTGAAAACCTCCCCAAGATTATCTCTGTCCACTCCACTCTTCATTCATTACTTTCTGGCCACATGGACCCTTCTTTCCATAAAGCTCATCCACCCTCTCATTTCTGTCTTAGGGCATTTGCACATCTTATTCCTCTTTCTGCAACAATCTTCACTCACATATTTCATGGCTGCCTTCTTTTGTCATTTTCATCGTTCATATCTCAAGTTAAAAATTATCCCTTCAAAGTGAACTTCTGTGGCCATCCTGAGAACATCCCCATTCTGACAACGTGTCACCTTGTAAACTATTTTATTCAGAGCATTTACAACCAAAATAATCTTATTTATCTTTTTACACATTTATTTTCTCTCCCCCAACCCTTAACTTGAATGTAATTTCCTTAAAAACAGTGACCTTGTCAATCTTTTCCACTGCAATTCCAGTGCTTAGAATAGTGACTGCTTCATAGTAGGTGACTTTTTTTTTCTTTTTCTTTTTGCTGTATGATTGACAGAAGAAAGAAAAAGACAGAAAACTTTAAAGCACACAAACAAAAACTATTCAAGAGGGTGACTTTCGTACTTTAGCTATTGCTATAAAATGGACTGGAAATTATCACAGGGATTAAATGTTCTAAAGGGAAGAAAGGGCATTAAGTAAAGGTGACCTGACATATTTTGATTATGTGTTTGAGCTTTGAAACACTACAGGATATTATGTCTTAGTGCACTCATGCATGGTCATGGGGGTTGTCTGTCACATCTTGGAGTTGAGGGAGGAATACTCAATTGCATCTGTGCAGATTCTTTCTGTGACTTAGTTTGAGAATTAAGAGTGCAAGCTCTAGATCCGGAAATTTTTATAAAGAACAGACCACCTCATGACATATGGACCTGTGGCTTGACTTTTGTTCTTCAGACCTGTGCCCATCATCTCCTGGCTACTCAGCCTGAAGCTCAAAGTATCACCATCGTGGGATGCAACACTGCAAGGCTAATGGTGCTGACACAAGGAAGCAGGGACCACTCTGGCACACCATAGCATCCACAGTTGGGCCCGTCAGATTATTTACTAGTTTCCTTGGTGTCATTGTCTTGACAAGTAACTCTGGGATTCAGTGCATTTTTCCCCTTCAGCTAGATGCCGCCAGAATATTTGACTCTCTGGATGTGTCAGGCGGGCTCTGTAATTAAATGGCTCAGCATTTCTGTTTGTCAGGGTGATATAAAATAAGGGGGGAAAATGTTTGCTTTGTGAAGCCATGCCATAAAACCTTCAGGAAGGATTATATATCATCAGGTCTTTGGCTCCCAAAGGAAAATGCCCTGAAAGACAAAACATCTTTAGTGTCACTTTTCAACCACGAGAAAATTGAATGAAATGAAGTTTGACATATGGAACTGTTTTCATAAGTTGTTTCAAATGTGAGTCACAAGAAAGGTCACTTTGAGGATACGGCAGAAGATCAGCTGAGATGCTTCTAATAATCTGAATAGAGCCCAGAGCTGACTTACCCTTGTGTGCTCCTGGGCCATGCCATGGACCACATTCAGTTAAGGAAGAAAACCATTAATCGTTTGTGATTGCAGAGTTTCTACTTGTGTCTTAGCGGTTGCTTCCACAGAAAAGGAAGTTAAAACTAGCTTGGAAAACACTTAAGAAGACTGTCACTACCTTCATTTACCTAAGACCATTGCTTGAAAATAACCCTTTTACCAAATACTTCCATCCATGCATCCATTTTTGAAAATTCTACTACACCAGCAACTTTCATCTATACAGCTAATAACGTAATGAAATATGACCACCACAATTGCATCTTCAAGTCATATTGGAAATTCAGTCTGTAAAATTAACACTATTATGCTGTGATGAAACTTAGTTACTGCACAAAGATTCTAAGAAGAGTATATATTTCTCAGAAACTATGTTCAGGTATATACATTTTTGGGTGTTAATAAGTTAATGCAATTAAGATATACTCTCATAAAGTATCCATAGTTGGCTAGCCTCAGTTCTAGATTCAGTATGCAGCATAGAAGAGTTATTTCAGATTTACTGTTTGAAGGAATTAGGATTTTCCAAGCCTTAATCTTCCAAGATGAAACTAATACATCCTCTTCCTCATTGCGTCCTCCTCTAATCTTAATCTTGTTTCTCCAAACACGCAATAATATGTAGGTTTGTTTCTCCTGTCTTGCAGTTCATGGAAGGGTAAATTAAAAGAGATGACAAAGCCGGCATACTAGCTCTCACTTCTGATTCACAACCTCAGCAAAAGCAAGAAATGCGTGAATGAATCTTTCCTTGGAGCAGTATGGCTAGTAGCTGGAAGGGCAAAATTGTTTCAATATATTGTACATAAGAAAATAGGGGCCGGCCCCGTGGCCGAGTGGTTAAGTTTGTGCACTCTGCTACGGTGGCCCAGGGTTTCACCGGTTCGCATCCTGGGCAAGGACATGGCACCGCTCATCAGGCCACTTTGAGGGGACATCTCACATGTCACAACTAAAAGGACCTGCAACTAAGATATACAACTATGTACCAGGGGTTGGGGAGATAAAGCAGGAAAAAAAAGAGAAAAGATAAGGGAGTTTTTCATTTTATATATATGAACATGTGTCACTGTCCCCTCCTCTAATGTCCAAATCATTATAGTAAGTACAATACTGGGTTGTACTTCCTTTTTGGATTAATAGCATGTCAACCTGAGATTCATAGAGAATAATTGGTCCTCCAAGTGAGAGCAGTCCATCATCCAAAGTAGCAGCAAGAAACATGCAAAGACACAGGAGTGGTTTGTCTTCATTTCTAAGTTCCCTGCACCCCATCTCCTGGGGCTTTTTCTGTAGTATCTAGGGCAATACTGTGTGAGAACGTCTATGGTTGTGTTTCAGCCTCCCACACAGCCCAAATGCTAATCCTTAGTGGATTTAAAGCACCAGGCCCTTTAGTATTAGTCATGCTGATCAATTTTAATTGAAAAGAGAAAGCATGCATTTTGCACAGTATGACACAAAGTACATCCACTAATGGAGTTGCTAGTAGGGAGGCCAGAGCATTTCCTACACGCTCCTCTCCTGAGAAGCCTGTCCTCTTTTGATGGAGTCTATGTTCTGGGAGGAATACACCTTGATTGGAGAAGGAAGAAAGGGGTCACTGGCCTGCTGTGTAGAGCAATCAGGTCATCCCCGGCTGTCTACATGGAGAAGGATGTCACAGCCGTATCATACTCTCTGTTCCATCCCTTAAGAGAAATCTAGTCTTTGGAGAATGGCTTTACTATGCCCTAGTAATAATGAGTACCATTTGTTAAACACAGAGGCTAAACTTTTCCACATGTTGTCCCTGGGCCTGGGCCTATATGGTCTGTGCCTTCCTCCAACATTAATCCTGGTAACTTCCCCTCACAATGCTCTGGCCAGGTTGATCTTTCTTGAACATGCCTCTCCTCTTCTTTTTCTGTGACTTTCCCTCTTTTCTCTCACAGTCTTGATGCTCAAAGTTCTCTTAGCCTAGAAAGTTTTCTGGACATCTTTGCCTAGCTGGTTCCTTATTTTTCCATCCTTTTCTCAAATACCTTTTCAGAGAGGATTTCCTGGACCACCTGGTCTAAAATCATCCCTCACCCAGCCACCACTCAATGCTACATATCCTCTTACTTTCCCTCATAGCACTTTTCACAGTGAAATTGTCTTGTTTATTTACTTACTTTATTTGTCCATCTTCCTCCCCATAATGTAAGCTCCATAAAGGGAGAGAGTTTATCTGTCCTCTACATCACTGTGGCACTAGTGACACAAAAATGTCCTTCATATAGTATCTGTTCATCCAACATTCCTGGCAAAACAAATCTGAAAGTCAGGATAATTATTATCACTGAATAAATTAGTAAATTGCATTCTAGAGAAGCCAACTCACTTGCCTATAACTACGAAATGGCGGGGATAGGATTTGAACCCAGGTTTGCTTAGATTAGTGCTAGCTGTATAGGTTGACTCAAAGCTAGGAAACTCTTTTCCCTCAGAATTGCCTTGCAGTTTCTCCAGCAAATTTAATTCTTTCATGTAGCTTCTCTGCTGAGAAACATCTGATCAGCAGTTAACTATTCATCTAGACAACTTCTTTCTGAATTCTCAGAGCTTTATCTAAATAGTTTTCCTCCTATGACTTGCCATTTGAAAAAATAAGTAAGCAAATGAATTTAAAAAAAACAAAACAAAAATGCTCCCCTCCTGAATTTTGCATTTGGGATTTGTAAAACCCAAACTATTTCTTTTGTCGTTGTTTTGCTTTTATTAACAGCTTTGTTGAGATCTAATTCAATACCATAAAAAAAGTTTTTAAATTGTATAATTCTGTGGTTTTTAGTATATTCACAGAGTTGTGCAACCATCATCACTATCTAATTCCAGAGCATTTTCATCATCCCATGAAGAAATCCCATACCCATTAGCAGTTTCTCCCTATTGGCCTCCTCTGGTAACCAATAATCTACTTTCTGACTCAATTCTGGATAATTAATACAAATGGAATCATACAATATGGGCCTTTTGTGTCTGGCTTCTTTCATGTCATACATGTCCAAGGATTATCCATATTGGGTAAACCTTGGAGACACATGCCTCAATGCTTCATTCCTTTCATATGACCAAATAATATTCCCTATTTTTATCCAGTTTTTAGTTGATAGACATTTAGGCTGTTTCCACTTTTGGGATATTATGGATAATGCTGCTATGAATATTTGGGTACTAGTTTTTGCATGGTCATATGTTTATAATTTTCTTAGGTATATATCTAGAAAAAGAATCACTGGGTCATATGGTAACTCTATGTTTATCTTTTTAAGAAAATACCGAGCCATTTTCTAAAGTGACTGTACCGTTTCATATTCCTACCAACAATGTATGAGGGTTTCAATCTCTCCACAGCCTCACCAACACGTTTATTGTACATCTTCCTGATTGTAGTCATACTAGTGGGTATGAAGAGGTATTTCACTGTGGTTTTTCTTTTCATTTCCATAATGGCTAACCATTTTGAACATGTTTTCATGTGCTTGTTGGCCATTTGTTCTTATGGAATATTGGCCATTCTCCATTTTCTTTGGAGAACTATCTATTAAGTCTTTTGCCCACTTTTAAGTTGCATTATTTGTCTTTTTATTTTTGAGCTACAAGAATTATTTATAAACTCTGAATAAAAGTTCCTTATCAGGTATATGATTTATAAACATTTTCTCCCATTCTGTGGGCTATCTTTTCACTTTCTTGATTGTGTCCTTTGAAACACAAAGGTTTTTTTAAAAAATTTTTAAGTCCAATTTATCTATTTTTAATTTTGTTGTTTGTGATTTTGGTGGCATGTCTAAGAAACCATCGCTTAATCCCAAATCACAAACATTTACACCTATGTTTTCTTCTAAGAGTTTTATAGTGTTAACTCTTACATTTAGGTTTCTGATTAATTTTGAATTAATTTTTGTATATGGTATGCGATAGGAGTGTAATTTCCTTTTTTTTTCTTTTTTTGCATGCAGATGTGTTGCTGACTCAGTATCATTTATTGAAAAGGCCATTCTTTCTCCACCGAATTGTCTTGACACTTTTGCCAAAAAATCATTTGATCATAAAAGTAAGGGCTTATTTCTGGTACAAAACTATTTCTTATTCCCTTATCTTTTGAAAATTTCTTGATTTTAGAATAAGTTTCAGATCCCTAGATTGAGAATCTCAAACCACATTCTCTAGACAAGGAATTCTTTATTTCTGGTTCTCAATTTTTGTCTTAGGTTGGATTCTCCCAGAAGCATATTCCGAGACCAGGATCTAAGTGCAAGTTTCTTCATTAGGAGGTGGAGGAAACACTGGTTGAAACTAGAGAAGAGACAATTGGAAGGGAAGGAAGACAATACAGAGTGTATTTTTAAGTCATCCCCCAGAGTCAGCAACTGGAGCTCAAACTTAAGGGGAAATACTGAGAAATGACTAAAACATTGCTCCAAGTTATGCTACCTAAGAGATCAGGGACCTTGGGGCTTTCATACAAACTCCTGATCGTCGTCAGTTGAGGCTTGCTCCTGAGGTTGTTAATTCTCTGAACTTCCAGTATATGTGTACATGAGAAGAATGGCTCTCTGCAGTGCCTGAAAAAGCTTTTAGGCACAGAGATGCAGATATGGGAGTTAGAAGAGGCTGGAGCACACCAAAATAGTAAGGTCAGAAGGATGTGGGAAAGGCATTGGCAGTGTCTGCTACGTGGACAAAGGGGAGATTATCTTTCTCAGCAGGTGCTTAAAACTCAGTTCCTTGGGGCTGGCCCTGTGGCCGAGTGGTTAAGTTTGTACTCTCTGCTTCTGTGGCCCAGGGTTACGCCAGTTCGGATCCTGGCTGGGGACATGGTACCACTCATCAAGCCATGCTGAGGCAGCATCCCATATGCCACAGCTAGAAGGATCCACAACTAAAAATATGCAACTATGTACCGGGGGCTTTGGGGAGAAAAATGAAAAATAAAATCTTTTAAAATAAACACAAAAACTCAGGTCCTACCTATACAAGTTCAGCCTTTACCCCAAGCACCACTTCCAGAGGCAGCCAGAAGGAACACGAAGCAAGAGAAAAATACCAAGACATTACACTTTTCACCATATAGCATTCTGAGCTGATGTGCTAGAGAAAATAATTCAAAAGCAATGCAGCAGAGGATGAAACACTTATATATTTGAGGTCACTGTTTTAGTCAGGAGTCTTTGGTTGCAAATGACAAAAACTAAATTTGCTTAAGTGAAAAAGAACTGTATTGACCCATATCAAACTATAGAAAGAGCAGGGGACAGCTGGCCTTCAGGACATATGGACCTAGGGCTTCAGATACAATTACGATTCTGTCTCTGCATTGTAGCTTTTTTTAATCTTCAGCTCCTCTAAGCAAAAGGAGCATGGCTTTCTGCTACTCTTGGTTCATTCTCTTTAAGCTACACAATAACAGAGAAATGGGCACTTCTCTAGCAACTACAATTTAGAACATTCCTAAGGAGCAACGTAATTGGGCCTACTTTGATAACATATCCTGTGCTAACCATTCTGTCCAGAGGATATTTTTCTGACTTGGTTCGTGGTTACACCTCTGTGGGTAGAGCCTGTTACCAGAGGAAAGGGAAAGAACAATTCACCTCTTGGGGGAAAAATGTCAAGGGCCTCACAAAAACAAACCAACCAACCAGAAACATCTTCCTGAGTCTTCTGTGCACTTCTGTAATATCCCAGGAACCTCAGTTCACCATGGGATACTATTTCAAGGGCATAAAGAGAAACTCCTTCTTGCAATTTCCATCTCCCCTTGAAAGCATCCTTTCAAACCACAGTTCCAATGAGGTTACATCACGCTACAACGGATTTCCTTGTTGGTATGATTTCAAGGGAGTCAGAAAAAATCTGAACCAATCTCATCTATTTTTCTCTTGTTCTAATTCCTCAAATATTAATTCAATAGAAAAGAAGTTGCAAATTTCAATGCTGCCTGGTTATCAAGAGCCATTCAGCTGTTTTAGAAATAAGTGAGTGACATCAAATATCAAATAATCAGCCTTCAAGCAAAGATTAGAAGGAGAGTTTTAAATGCTTGGGAAACTCTGAAGTTGTTCCTTCCCTGTTTCTGAATAATTGTCACCATTTTTATCCCTCAGGATTCCTCCAGACTTTCACAAGATCCACCAGCCTTTTCTGGAAAGGGAGAGCTTGTGCTCTTTGCTTGTGAGAGAGCATTCTCTGTAAGTAAGAAAAAACAAGAGCATTGAAACTACTTTTACTAGTGATGTGACAAACATAGCAAGTAGTTACATGCTAATTCAGGCTATCACCTTTAATTAGGATGTGGGGAGGCTGAGTTCTGCTGTCTTCAATCTTTGGAAATGAGCACTCATGATCAAAGAGCTACCTTCTTTAAATAATTTAAGTAGATATCCATTTTAATTAAAGTAGATATTGAATATTGGATATGAAAATGGCTGCTGCTGCTTCTTTATTTTTTTAAACCTTTGGATTTGGTGACTGCCGCTTAAATGGATAGGTCCCTGTACAGAAGGAAACAGCATCTGGCCCAGTCCCTCGTCAGGGCTGAAGATAAAGCACACACTTGGCTGGAGGCCTTCTGTGATCCCAACACCTCCCTGGGATGAAGCAGGTGGGAGGGAGCCCCCTTCAGAGTCTCCTGGTGTGTCACCATACTGGTCTCAACAGCTGCCACAGATCAAACCAATCTGGTTCTGCTCTTCTGAAAAGAAGCTATTTCCCTCCCCAACCCAAAACAAGAGTGGTTTGGAATGCAGCAAAGCATTCGATGAACCATTAAACAGATCCTCAGAATTTCCCAAAAAGGTCCCTGATGAAAAGATAAGTATTCGACCTACACAGACACCAGAATGTAGCCTATGTACACCATGGGAAGCAACAAGCCTGCCCTGTTCTTCCTTTTATTTTCTTGTGAGGAAGATTGGCCTTGAACTAACATCTGTTGCCAATCTTCCTCTTTTTCTTCTCCCCAAAGCCCTACTACATTGTTGTATAACATAGCTGTAGGTCATTCTAGTTCTTCTATGTGGGATGCCACCACAGCGTGGCTTGATGGGCAGCGTGCAGGTCCACGCCAGGGATCTGAACCAGCAAATCCCGGGCCACCAAAGTGGAGTGCACCAACTTAACTGCTTGGCCATGGGGCCAACCCCTGTTCTCCTTCTTAAGGATGAGTAAAGATGCCCATAAAAAAAAGTCTGGGGGCTGGCCCAGTGGCGCAATGGTTAAGTGCACACATTCCACTTTGGTGGCCCAGGGTTCACTGGTTCAGATCCTGGGTGCGGACATGGCACTGCTTGACAAGCCATGCTGTCGCAGATGTCCCACATATAAAGTAGAGGAAGATGGGCACAGATGTTAGCTCAGGGCCAGCCTTCCTCAGCAAAAAGAGGAGGATTGGCAGCAGATGTTAGCTCAGGGCTAATCTTCCTCAAAAGAAACAAAAACAAAAACAAATCTGGCAAAGAAGTATTAGGCTGCAAGATTTCAGTGGTCCCCTAATTTTTCAGTAATTTCTTCTTACTTTCTTCTGCTTCATTACATCATTTTCTCTCTCCTCTCAGATATCTAGTACTTCCTCCTTTTCTCCCATGTCCCTAGGCCAGTCGAACATAGAAACTGTCATCAGCAAATCAATTCACAATCACAATCCAAAGAAAGTTAAAGGAAGAGAGAAAAGAATTGTGAAAGAGACTGGATAACATAGAGCAAATTCCATTTAGTTATGTTTTCTGATTTCCATATGCCCACAGACTTCCTTCTAGGCTTCCAAAAGGAAAAAAAAATCCATGCTCTTTTTCTTTCTTCCTTTTCCTCTTCCTTCTTTTTAAAAGTTTAAAGATCCTGATTAAACTTACCAGTTTAAGGCGATTTCATTTATCTAACATTCCACTGAAGTAGAAAGGATAGATTAAATCTCACTGCTACTCAAGATTTTCAAGATATCCAGGAGGTTGAGATACAGTTCAACTGGGTTTGTATTTTTCCTAACCCCAGCAAAGACCACATCGATACGTGGCTGAACAAAGAATTCCTACATCCATGGCCACAGGATGATGAGTTTGAAAACAGTCTCTTTTGAAACAAACCCAAGACACTTGATAACTCTGGGTGCAAAGTTTGTGCTGAAGAAAAAGTAAAGTTTGTTTTAACAATTGCATTGGATTCTGAATTGAAGCTGAGCTGGTATAAAAATTCAACATCAATTGCACACAAACATGCTGCATGACCTTGCATTAGAATAAGCCTTTCAAAGGACTGCATGTGCTATAAATTGAGCAAGAGTCAGGCTCTTTTCTAAATGACAGTATCGGACAGGTATCAAGATTACCATGTTTCCACTGGAGCTCAGGAAAACACTGACACAAGAAATAAATGGGCCATTGGCTGTCACTGCTCAGAAGCTCAGGTTCGACCTTTCCACTGCCACAGTGAAATTCATAATAAAATGCCAATGAAAATAAAGAGCAAGTCAGACCTGTCCATATCAGTTGCAGAATAAGTGTCTGCTATGATGATCCATCCCCAAAAACACTGGTAATCTGGTACATAGGTATATTTGTCAGAGAAAGTTTCATCCTGTGAGAGGGAAAGACTGAATTCTGCAGACTCTTATCTCTTGTCCTTGAGGAACATTAAGAAATAAAAGATGACTGTAGCCAGTTGAGCTTTTGTTGTCTCAGCCACTCTCTCTTCCTCACTTTCCTTGCTTGTGCCCTCTTCCGCATTCCATGTCTGTTATCTCTCTGTTATACATCAGGAGAGGGGAATGGAAGCTGTCGAGTTTAAATGATATCATCTCACTGCAGAAGAGTCCTACCTCACAGAAGATAATGGTCAGATATTTGGCCAAAAGGGTTTTCTCTAATCCCTAACACCAGAAAGACCACATGAATATTTGGAAGAACAGAGAATTCATGTAACCATGGCCACAGGATGATGAGTTTGAAAACATTCTCTTTTGAAACAAACCCAAGATACCTGATAACTCTGGGTGCAGTTGAAAATGTTTGGAGGATGTCATTGTCCACCACCTCGTACCTTTTGCAGAGTGACCCTTTATTACTGCTTTCTGGGGACATATCAACCTTGACCTGTTGTTTCAGTCCAACCCCAAAATCAGATCTCTTGCATGGAGATTCTGAGCTGAATCCAAAATATCAGATGCCAGTAATCTCTCTTGCATTCTCTTTGCACTCCCACATGTTATTTTTTGGAAAAGACAAAATTTCCAAGGAAAATTTCAAAGTAGACAGAACCAAATGATGGGTGATTCGTGGCCAAGGGAGCATTGAGATATTCCCTTGTGATTCTCTCACCCCTAAGACACAGGAAATCCAAGGTGAGAACCCTCTGTGGATATCAGAACCTGGTTATGTATACCATGAACAAACTTCCATCTACTTTCCTGGCCTCAGGACTCTGAATTCCTCTTAAAACATACTCTTTTGATCATGTGATATTTTACTAATAATATCCTTTGGTGATAATAATGTGATAGCACAAAAGCCATGTCACCGACTAAAGCAGAGAAGTTGTATGCTGGCAAAGCTCACCTGTGGGAAGGTCCATCTGCAATTACATGTTGACAGTTTCAAAGAACTGGCCGCAGTTCTTCCCAGCTCCATTACAGCACACACAGTACAGGCGTTCATTGCCTCTGACAGGGCTGAGAACCAGTGGAGTTTCTTCAAGACACTGCTGTCACAGTGATGCCACAGTGGTTTAGACCTTTTGTTTGTTTATTAGCTTGTGTATGTGTAACACAGGATGCTTGCTTTATTTTATTTCCTCTGGTTTGCAATAAAACTATGATGGCAGAGATGACCTTTTTGCTGTCGTGCTTGTAAGTATGACCTGAGGCCAATAAGCATGGGTATATCTGATGAATATGATGAGCTAACTGTGTCAAACACTACTGGAGAAAGGCTGGTACGTGTCTATTGGCAAGGAAGTCTGAGCATCCCATATGAATAAGTATGTGTGTGTGTGTGTGTGTGTGTGTGTGTGTGAGAGAGAGAGAGAGAGAAAGAGAGAGAGAAACAAACCTCTGTGGGACATATCCTGCATTCATTCATTCATGCATGCAACAGCTATTTACTGAGCTAATGACGTGTCATGTGCAGGGGATAAAAGGAGCAAAAAAAGAAAAAAAGCAAATATCCATGCCCTTATAGAGCAAATCACCTAATGGGAAAGAAAGATGTTGCTCAAATAATTAAAAAAATAAACCATAGTATCATTTGCAAAGGAAACATAGTATGCTGGAGAATGCCCAGTTCTTCAGTTAAATAACAATAGTGAAATGAATTTGGTTAGAGGTTTAGGAAAGGAAAGTTAAAATTATGAGCTCAAGCATATTTGGGACTATTGCATATATTATATTTTCTTGATAGAAATAGAATCTATTGATTCAGTAGAATTAGATGAAATTGTTTTCGTCAGAGGAAAAATACGTCTTGATCATTAAGATATTTAGAGATTAAGTCAAAAGTGTATAAATGGTACTGCATTTACAATCACAAGAGAACAGGAATTACTGAGGTGGAGTTTACAGACGTTTGGGCAGGGGTAGAGCAATAAATCAAATGATGAAGGGCTTGGTGGACGGATGAAAGCAACTTGCAGAGCTTGCAAGCTTGAGGATAAGTTGAGCTTGCTGCATGTCATTGTGTCTCCTACATATGCATCATACGGCATATGCATCATTAGCCTAACAAGAGAAATGGTGAAGAGCTCACATTACTATTACCTTGCCTGCTCTACCAGTCAACTTTGGCGACTCTTTTGTATGAGGAATTCCTGATACTGAGAAGTGGCAGAGGTCATTCTCCAGATGGTGTTACTGAATTAGTTGGGGTGGCTAGCTTTTGTGGAAGTCCGATATTTCAATTGCTGTTCCAATCCCTTGCCTCCTCAAAGAGGGCTGAGTCAGCACTGTGAAGGGCAGAAGAGGAGCGGATACTTAGATTAAGGAGCCAAAATCTTGATAAAATGAGCTAATGAGCAGAAAGAGCAAGACAAGGTTAAGTCCAGCATCTTGGGAAAAGGATAGACATGATTTGGCAGACTGAGGTGGCTGCTCCCACCAACTCAGTAATATGAACTGCCATCTTACTCAATTCAGGCTGCCATAATAAAATAGCACAGACTGGGTGGCTTAAACATTTGTTTCTCAAAGTTCTGGATGCTGGGAAATCCAAGATCAACGTGCCAACAGTTCTGCTCCTGGTGAGAACCTGCTTCCTGACTTGCGGTCAGCTGCTTTCTCACTGTGTCCTCACTTAATGGAGAGAGACAGAGAGAGCTCTGGTCTCTCTTCCTCTTTTTGTAAGGACACTAATCCCATACTGTGGGCTCCACACTCATGACCTCATCTAAACCTAATTATGTCCCACAGGTCCCACCTCCAAATTAGTTGGCCTCAACATACGAATTTAGGGGGACACAACATTCAGTCCATAACAACTGCATTAAATACTTTGATGACAACAACCTAACACAGAGTCACTTGTCAGCATAATCATTGTATTTATATATCCGTATCTAGAAGAGACTGCTTGTTGTCTCCCAATATCTCATTTTCTCTCTTTCAACAACAATGGAATACCTAATATTTAGAAGTGAGTTGTTTAATTTCCACATATTTTGTGATTTTCTAGATAGTGTTCTCTTACTGATTTCTACTTAGTTCTGTTAGGGTCTGAGAACATACTATGAATAATTTCAATTCTTTAAATTTGTTGATTTGTTTAACTTTTAATTTGTTACAGTGCAGAATATGATTTATTTTGAGGAATGTTCTATGTGCACTTGAAAAGAATATATATTCTGCTGTAATTGGATGGAATGTTCTAGAAACGTCAATGAGGTGATGTTGGTTATAGTGTTCTTCAGATCTTCTGTATCCTCACTGATTTTCTGTCCACTAGTTCTGTCAACTGCTGAAAGAGAAGGATTGTAG